CTGCAATAAAATTTCAGAAATTTCAGAATTATCTTAACAATTCAAATAGTTGTCAGCATTCAGCAGGTTGCAAGTACATGGCCAATTAAAAAAAAAAGTACCTATATTGTCAGAGAAAAGAAAAACCATAAAAAGAGAAACTATGACTTAATATATTGAAATATGAAAGAAATATGAACAGAAAGATGGAAACTTAAATTTTAATTTTCCTTGCCTGCTTTTCATAAAAATCATAATATATAATTACCGTTATTGTCAAATAATGTGTATTTAATTTATTGTTCTATTTTTTCACCCATACTTAAATAGAATAAATATGCACCATTTCCATATGGATCATGTCAAACCACTACAATGCATTCACTATAGTACTTGTGGTAAACAAAAGATTCATGTGCATGTGCTGTATTTTATAAAAACAGATCTAGCACATTACTATGAAGTTAATGTATTTAAACACTATAGCACTCTTCGAACACAACTTGCGTTCAATTTTTTTTCTCTTAAGTCCGAGCATCAGACTCAGCTTGCGTCCGATAAAAAAATATTTGTATAAAATTCATTTATTATCTGATCGACTTCGGGATAGTTTCAAAATGAACGCCTTTACCTGGTTGATACCTGGTTGATGGGGTTCTGGGAGTTCTTCTACTCCCCAAGCCCGGCCCGAAGCCAGGCTTGACTTGTGAGAGTTTGGTCCACTAGGCTGTTGCTTGGAGCGGCCCGCAGGCCCACATTCCCACCACAGCCCGGTTGGTCCGGCACTCCTTGGAGGAAACTATCTAGTTTCCTCTTGAAGATGTCCACGGTTGTTCCGGCAATATTTCTTATGCTTGCTGGGAGGACGTTGAACAACCGCGGCCCTCTGATGTTTATACAGTGTTCTCTGATTGTGCCTATGGCACCTCTGCTCTTCACTGGTTCTATTCTGCATTTTCTTCCATATCGTTCACTCCAGTACGTTGTTATTTTACTGTGCAGATTTGGTACTTGGCCCTCCAGTATCTTCCAGGTGTATATTATTTGATATCTCTCTCGTCTTCTTTCTAGTGAGTACATTTAGAGGGCTTTGAGACGATCCCAATAATTTAGATGCTTTATTGCGTCTATGCGTGCCGTATATGTTCTCTGTATTCCCTCTATTTCAGCAATCTCTCCTGCTCTGAAGGGGGAAGTGAGTACTGAGCAGTACTCAAGACGGGACAACACAAGTGACTTGAAGAGTACAACCATTGTGATGGGATCCCTGGATTTGAAAGTTCTCGCAATCCATCCTATCATTTTTCTGCCTGTCGCAATATTTGCTTGGTTATGCTCCTTAAACGTTAGGTCATCAGACATTATTATTCCCAAATCCTTTACATGCTATTTTCCTACTATGTGTACATTTGATTGTGTTTTGTACTCTGTATTATGTTTAAGGTCCTCATTTTTACCGTACCTGGAATTTATCACTGTTAAACATCATGTTATTTTCTGATGCCCAGTCGAAAACTTTATTAATATCAGCTTGAAGTTTTTCAGTGTCTTCAGCCGAGATAATTTTCATACTGATTTTTGTGTCATCTGCAAAGGATGATACGAAGCTGTGACTTGTATTTTTGTCTATATCTGATATGAGAATAAGGAAAAGCAGCGGTGCAAGGACTGTACCCTGAGGTACAGAGCTTTTAACTGCACTTGGACTAGATTTTATATGGTTGACCGTTACTCGCCGAGTCCTGTTTGACAGAAAACCGAGTATCCAGCGTCCTACTTTACCGGTTATTCCAATTGACTTCATTTTGTGTGCTATCACGCCATGGTCACATTTATCGAAAGCCTTTGCAAAGTCCGTGTATATCACATCAGCATTCTGTTTTTCTTCTAATGCCTCGGTGACTTTGTCGTAGTGCTCAAGTAGCTGTGAGAGGCACGATCTTTCCGCTCGAAATCCATGTTGGCCTGGGTTGTGAAGGTCATTGGTCTCCATGAAATTGGTGAGTGCGCACAATTTAATACCAAAGTGAAAGATGTAACACGAAACTTGATGTCAGAACACTTGAATGATTTTAAATATGTTTTTGGTAAATTTATTAAATGGTAAATTTAAATGGGACTAGTTTTAAAATGTGAGTCTTTAGATTGCGAACAATTTGATACCAAAATGAGAGATGTAACACAAAAATTTGTCAGAACACTAGAAAGATAAAAAAAATTTGGGATGAAGAGCGTCCAAAATTATAATATTTGTTAAAATTCGAGTTATTGCTCTATTACTCTATTATTATGGGAATAGTTTTAAAATAAGCGCCTTTATATTGCAAACAATTTGATACCAAAATGAAAAACGTAACACAAAAATTGATGTTATCAAACTGAACGAGTATACACATTAGGCTGCGGTGTGCAAATCGGTGCTCGTTCACGGGTAACTTTAGGCTTTGCTGCGGGAAGTCATGCTGGATTTTTGGACATCATATGCATAAACACCTGCAGTGAATTTAACTGCGAACATAATGATACCAAAACAAAAGACGTAGCACGAGAATTAAGGTGAGAAAACTGAAACGAGTATACACATTTTACGGATTTTGTGCGCTCACGGGTAACTTTTGCCAACTTTAGGCTTTGCTGCAGGGAGTCACCCTGGGCTTTTGGACATTATATGCATATACACCTGTAGGGAATTACATTGCGAACACAATAATACCAAAACGAACAACATAGCATGAGAATTAAGGTGAGAAAACTGAAACACGTATACTGTACACATTTCGGTGTCGCCGCGCACTTGCCCGTATGCCGAGAGCATGACCTCTAAGTTGGTGGCGCGCACGCCCGGGGTGCTATAGTGTTAAGCATACAGTGAATCAATTTGCCAATTAATAAATGAGTGAATGTATCAATAAGAACAAATGAACCAAGTAGTAGCTTGTAATCCTAAAAACTGGGTAAGCATTTGCTTACCCCATAAAAATTAGTCCCTTCCCAATTAAAAAAGCTTTATTCAGTTAGCATATTATTTAAATCAGTTGTAATTGACATATTGCATTTCTTTTGGTCTCAGATTTTGAAGTGGCATTTGCTACTTGAAAATCTGTCCCTCAAATACAAAACATTCCATTCACAATAACCTTGTTCTGCCCTCTTGCAGAATATTGATATGCTACTGCCGGATTTAAGATGACAACAAATAAACCTGAGTTAATGCCCCTTTTTTTAAAACCATGTAAATATGGTTTAGATCAATCTAATATGTTATGGAAAGCATTCTAATGCTGGAATGTCCCTCAGTAATATGTTATCATTGCGTATAATTAATATTTACTTGAATTACATTACCATTTTGGATTAATAAATTAATAATGATATATAATGCTTTTGAATGTTATTTTTTTTGGAAAGAGATTGTATCATTGTGTGAGGTTATTGTCTTCTGGTCAACATTCAGCACAAGAAATTCATTGATTTTGAGAGATGATGTAACAATGCAGGCATCTATTTGGCTTGCTTTATTACCCCCAAAATGACATGCAGTTACAGTGCCAAGTGTTTATTGTTGGGCATGTCTTCTGTTTTAAAAGATAAAAACGTATGGAATACTTACGGATATAAAGATTTGTCCAATACACAGAATTATTGCATGACCTTCAGAGCAAGCCAGAATTTAACAGCAAAGTTATGCATCATTTTGCTTGTAAGACAAAAAGAATTCAATTGAACTTTGTTTAAGATGTTTGGTTAAAATATTTTGTTACTACAGTACTTATTTTGTTAAACGAGTTAATCAATTTGTACTAACATTCATACACTTTCATCAAAGATTTTAAGTGGCATTTACTTATCCTAGCATTGTTTTCATGACATCACCAGAATCATGGAATTAAGTAATTATCAAAAGAAGGCACCAAGCCGGGAAAGCTATGTAGCACCATCAAATGTGCAGGATATTCACAAGGCACTAAATATCACTAAGGATGCCAGTACGAGAACAAAAGCACATAAGGTAAACGATATCAAAGGCATTCAATTCACCAAGATTTATATTGTGTCGAGGGACAGATGACCGTGAGGGATGGTCGGGCAGCAAGACACACGCACATACTGAAAGTCCGGACATTTAACAAGGATATGCACGACTGTAAGAGGGACAATTGCACTTTTGACAAGAAGGAGCAAGGGCGACACTCCATAAAGTGCCCGTGAGTTAAACGTGTATGGGCAATACGTAATCTCGCCAGAGCTGTTTCTCACTGCTCGTTACAGTGGTAAGAGGAAGGCCATGGAGACACACTACCTTTACCAGTCTGCAGTTTGTTACCAGTAACAGAAGACCAACGGGCAAGGATTGTGGAATGAATAACCGGGTAGAAGCTGGAATAAGGAACACCTTTATGGGCGACATGACAAGTATGGATAGTCTCCTTAGTGGCAGCGTTTGCACACTCATTTAAGGACACAACAATAAGACTGGGAACTCAGCAAAACTACTATCTTAACAGCATCGATGGCCGTGGACGACACTCACGTCCAATTTTTTTCTCACGAGTCCTAGCTGTGGACAGAGCTCGCGTCCAATACAAAAATATTTGTATAAAATTCATTTTTTATCCGATCGACTTCAGGATAGTTTCAAAATAAGCGCCCTTAGAGTGCGCACAATTTGATACCAAAATGAAAGATGTAACACGAAACCTGATGTCAGAACATTTGAAAGATTATAAATACATTTTTGGTCAAAATTTTAAAACATTTGTTAAAATTTTATTTATTGTGCTATTATTTTGGGACTAGTTTTAAAATGTGCGCCTTTACATTACGAACAATTTGATACCAAAATGAAAGATGTAACACAAAAATTTATGTCAGAACACTGGAAAGATATAAATAATTTTGTGATGAGTGTACAAAATTAAAATATTTGTTAAAATTCCAGTTATTGCTCTATTATTATGGGGCTAGTTTTTAAATACGAGCCTTTATATTGCGAACAATTTGATACCAAAATGAAAGACGTA